CGATGATAATGATGATGAACATTATGATAAAGATTTTTCTTAATCAAATTTTCAAAAAAAAAAAAAGTAACAAAAAAAATGATAAAATCCAAACAACCACACAAAAAATTAAAAAAAATATAAAGTTTATTTAATAAGAATAGTATGCCAATGTAGAGTTTTTGAATGTTGAAATATTCACGTTATATTTTTTTATTTTTAATAAAAATAAAAAATTTTCAAAATTTATTAAAAAAAATTACCCTCCCTAACAAAAAAAAAAAAGATATAAAACATATGTGTATAAAAGACTAAAAAATGTAAAACAACAAAAAATTTTAAAAATAAACAAAAAGTCATGTGTCTTTTAAACTGTTCGTTGTTTTGTCCGTTTTGTGTTTGTAATCAAAAAGTGGATTTACAATACAAGGTGGTTTTTATGATAGAATGATTTTTGTTGTTGTTTGCTGGGTATATCGTGTGTGGATAAGTGCTGTCACAAGGTGGTGTTATTTAAAACAGCTGATTGTTCTTATGACGATTTGTTAATATACCACCGAATTGAACTTTTATAGATTAGTTTTTAGAGTTCTCCATTTATAATATAATACTACGGTCAGAGGTACAAAAAATACATGCATAGAATTTGGTTTTTCAATTAAAAACAAAAAATAACGCCTTCAATTATGAAATAAACTTGTTTGTAAATAAAGTTTAAGAATCTCTGTAAAGAGTTTCATAAATTGTAACGGTTTTTTGTAAAACATTGTCATCACAGTTTGGTAACAACTGCAAACAGTCGTGATACAACTCTGTATTATTTTAGTACTAACTACTACAATTTTCTTTTTGACAAGTACTCATTTTGTAAAAAGTAACCATTCTCATTTGACAGCAGAGACTTGCGCCGATTCGGCTTAAGCCGACTAAGCCTAGCCGCCGAACAAAATGTCAAAGCCGCCGACGCCGAAAATCTTTCAGCTTAATACGGCTTGAAAATTTCGCCATATTTTGTACAATTTACAGAATACTTTCGGTAAATTTGTGGAATTTTACAATATAAAATTAATTTGTTTTCATTTAAGCAAGTTTTCTTTTATCTAATAATAAGCCGCTCATTGAAATTTGGCCAGTGTAGAACTTTGCTCAACGTTCGATGTATATGCTTCGCCTCAGATATTTTCGTGTTTTCGCGCCTAATTCAAGTCGCTGCTTTGACTTCAAACCAGCTTCGTTCACGTCAACGGAGCTACACCTTTTTACATTGCTGGTATGTCATACCGTAAAGGGCTAGGGTATCGAACATGTGTATTTCAAATGGGAAGTGCAGTTGATATCAATTCTGCCGACTGCGAAAAGAAATTCTGCTAGAATTTTTCGCGCCAAACTGTTTTCTGCATTTTTTATTTGCCAAAAAAAATCTGTTGTTGTGTGTGTGCGAAAATCTAAAATGACAGAAATGATATTCTTTAAATAAAAAAATAATTTTTTACTAAAAATTTAAATTAATAAGATTGTATGCTATACTACTATACCGATGATCATTGTACAAAGAAACAGCAAGTGTTGGGTTGAATTTAGTTAAATTGTTAATAATTATGATGAAATTTTTTTAAAGCAGGGTTTGTTTTCGTTTAATATCCAAAAGTGTTTATCGAAATCTATATTTGGCATATTTGTGAGATCTAGAAGATTAAAAAATGTAAGTAATTTATACCTTTGTAGAGAATGTCTTCACGGACCTAGAGGATATAACCTGGCTAGGTATGTATATGTTGTTTGGGCAAAATATTGGTACTAACCATTGTGGGCTTTATGTCGACTTTAGATCCCTTATAGTTGTCACACTATACCAAATAAGCATTCTTGCTGAAATTAAAGTTTAAAACAAGTTTAATTCCAGTCAAACATTCAAATTTCAAGTGTTGAAATTCACTTTCATTACACTTTAATTCAATAGCATTCTCCAGTGAAAACGAAACTTGAATTCAAGTCGAACATTAGAATGTTTTTACAGTATAATTCAATGCACGAAATCTATATATGTACGTTACTGACTGACTGATTCATCATCGCACAGCCTAAACGATTTTAGCTAAAGAGCTTAAATTTGGACAGGAGGTTGGTCTCCCACCAAATAGATCCACTAAGACGGGATTTTTGGAAATTCGAATGATTAGGGGGTTAAAAATGGTAAAAACAGGTAAATTCGGTAACCTCATATCTCCTAAACTATAAAAGATACAAAAACAGTTTAAAGTACTTTTTTCAAATTCGGCCGCTTTGGGGAATAAACGGGTAGAAACTGTAATTTGGTACTTCTTTTGCACCCCATGTATCTTTTAAACCAGAGAACATTCAAAAAATATTTTTGAATCCTTCATAACTTAACGAACAAATAAAAATATGAATTTAGTATTTTTTGGATATTCGGACGTTTAAGGGGTGAAAATTGTACCTATTTTTGGTACTTTTTTTATAAAACATTGTTTTTTGGTTTATTAACTTTTACATATGAATACATAATAACGGGCTCCCAATACGATGTTGCAACTGGTACTTTTTTGACTTAGAATTTAGAAACATGTAATTAAGCACTTGAGAATCTATAAAAGTCGACTTTTTGGTACTTTTTAGTTCTTCAAAAGGTACTTTTTGAGTTTTCTATTAAACTGAACATAGAAACATGAAATTATGCGCGTAGGGCCTGGAGTAAATGAGAATCTATAAAATGGCACTTTTTGATACTTTTTCGTTCTTTGACTGGTACTTTTTGAGCTTGCTACAAAATTTGAACCTCGAAACATGAAATTAAGCACTTAGAGCCTGGAGTAAATGAGAATCTATAAAATGGGAACTTTATCGTACTTCGACTGGTACTTTTTGAGTTTTCCATAAAATTAAACCTAGAAACATAAAAATAAATATGTAGAGCCCGGAGTAAATTATAATCTATAAAAAGCGACTTTTTAGTACTTTTTCGTTCTTCGACTGGTATTTTTGGATTTTTTATAATATTGAACCTAGAAAAATTAAATTAAGAATGTGCAGCCCGGATTAAGTGATAACATTTAAAAGGGGACTTTTTGGTACTTTTTCGTTTTTCGACTGGTACTTTTTGAATTTTTTATAATATTGAACCTAGAAACATGAAATTAGGAATGTACAGCCCGGATTAAGTGATAACATATAAAAGGGGACTTTTTGGAACTTTTTCGTTCTTCAACTGGTTCTATTTGAATTTTCTATTATAATGAACCTAAAAACATAAAACTAAGCAATCAGGGACTTGAGTGAATGAAAATTTAAACTGGAGTATTTCTGGTAATTATTCGTTCTTTAACTAATACTTTTTGAATTTTCTAAAATATTGAATATATAAACATAAAATTAAACACGCAGTATCCTAATTGAACGAAAATTTATCTCGCTTACGTCCATTTTGCAAAAATGGCTCGATATCAATCGAAATTTCTATAGGCCATAATTGACCCTGCCCCCTTCAATAATTGATTTTAACGTTTTTTACGTACTTAATAATACCATAATAAAACAATTTTTGTTGGAACGAAAATATGTAATGCAAATATGTATATGAAATCTTCTTAAGAAAATGACTTAAACGCACATAAATGGATTTCAAATGTCGATGTCGACGAAAAAAACATTTTTAGGAACCGAAAAATAAAGTTATGAGGATCGGTCCGCCAATATAACCCTCTTACAGAAAATCAGTTTATAGCTAATACATCATTCCAAAAGTTATCATTATGATAGAATTATAGTAGAATTAAAAAAAATACTTTAAATTATATATATTATTGATCCAAATCCACATTTAAGTCCCTAATCCGAAAAACACGGTGACGTTCTTATTAATCTAATGATCGGACCACTTCCGAAATTTGCTTTTTTACGACATATGATTTGCCGAATATAACTCTTACTTCTTACTTATTTTAATCATAAATTACCGCTAAAATAGGATTAGTCTGCCTTTAGAGTTGCGAGTTTTCATACATTCTAATAATGTTTTCAAACTGAAACTTTTGGAATATTTTTCAATCTCTTTGTGATCCCTTTAAATGATGTTGTTCTGGAAGAACTTTAACATCCATGTAAACATTTTGGGTAATAAATTGGGGGACTACCAATGAGGGGAGCGGAACCTCCCATATGAATTAAATACAAAAATTCGTTTATCTGGGAAACTAATATAACTAAATTCTTCAAATTTTGCACGAACAACTTTAATATTCATCTGAACATTTTGGAGAAAAAAGGGCGGACTTTCATCTGGGGGGCTTGGAGCTCCCATATGAATTAAATAGACAAATTCGTATATCTGAGAAACTATTAGAGCTAGAATCTTCAAATTTTACTGAAGAACATTTAGAGAATAACGGGCGATCTTTCAATGGGGGGCTTGGCACTTCCCATATGAATTAAATACAAAATTTTGTATATCTGGAAACTATTAGATTATTCAAATTTTTCATAGATTAAATTAAACGTGGAATCTCCCATATGTAACAAATTGTATATCTTGAAAGCCATTGTAGTTAGAATCTTCAAAATTGTTAAGTAGGTTTCTTATTTATATTGCTTTTAGGGTAGCACAGCACACTGGGTATAGCTAGTAAATAAACAAATAAAATATCTTTGTTTTTACGTTATTGATAATTTTCTTAATGCAAAATTTTTTAGAAACTGATTTTCTGCAAGATGTTTTATATGGAGAACTTGGAGAAAGGATTTGTTTTTAATTTTTAAGAATTTTTTATTCATCCCTGCATAATTTCTCATACAACTTTTGAGTTTGCTCTGTTTTGTTGTTATAAACAATATATTTGCTTCCAAAATCCTACTTTCTGATCTCTCGGATTCCGTTTTTATTTAAAATCGTTGAAAAATTAAAAACTAAACGTAGTTGAAAACTTAGCCGGCTTACAGTCGATTTTAAGCCGCCGCCGACATATTTAGTGTCAGTCGCCGCCGCCGTTAATATTTGTCGGCGCAGGGCTCTGTTTGACAGTTCTTACAAATTTATTTTTTTACTTCGTTGGACGTGGTAGTTCTTTTTTTGCTAGAATTTTTCTTCGCTAATTATGTGGGGTGATACTATTTTAATTGTTTTTATTTCGATTTGTACCGCTTTCTTGGGTGAAGGTATGTTTGTTTTCCTACATTTTAATTGATTTTAATAATTGTTTTATTCATGTTTCGATGGATAGGTCTGACATGGCTTTTGGTCTATCGCACAGAAAAATATCAAAAACTGAAGGGTGAAGTGGAAAAGCAAAGTAAAAAATGTAAGTAAGAATTTTTATTCTTATGCACTTGACCTAAATTTGGGAAATACATCAAGTTAATAACGTGATATACAAAAGCTGGTGTGACCCGCATACGAGGTGTAGTGTAATTTATTATCAAGAGACAATGTCAGTAGCAAATGCTTGTACTTGTCTATGGACTGTTAAGCTAGAACTAAACTAGAACTGAACTGAACTAAACTTGTACTAGAATCTAACTAGAACTAAAATAAAACTGAACAGGAACTTGTCTACGGATTGTTGAAAACACTATTAAACCATATATTTCAGCGGCCATTTAGGTCTAATGCGACTTTTATTTCTAAGTACGGGTGGAATTCATGCTTCGAAGTTCCCCATTACTGAGAACTTGGCTTACTTATATAATAGCAGTATTAAATCACAAAACTTTATTCATTCCAAAAATTTAGACAATATCCTAATCATTATTCTGAGGAAAAGAAAGAAATCGCTTTTTTCCTTCCAAGAAATGATAGTAAGAGATTTAAGAATTGTGTTCCAATTTCTACCCTTTTGGTAGAGTAAATTTAGAAAGTCCACCCTAATAATCATAAAATTTTTCACCTATGTTAGATATCCGAACAATCAATAACGCCATTTTGTAATAAAAAAAAAGCATTAATATTTTAGGCCGTTTATGGTCGGCCTATTAAAAAAAATCATTTATATCGTATTCCTATTTCATTATTTGCAAAATCTATTGAAAGGATAAATAAATCGTTTGTCCTTATACATTCAAGACCTCACAAAACAAACCAAAACTTCCACAAAGCAAATCATTAATATTTATTTCCAAATCAATTCAATAATAGTTTATCATAAAAATCATAATAAGTAAATCATTACGTTAAGTAGCTTTTGGCTCGGCATCTGTACTTGATGAGAAATCAAAATCACTTTCACTTGAAGCTACATTTCCCGACTTAGTAGTAGCTGCCTTCTCAACTACAGCACTTTCATCCGTTTCACTACTATCAACAAAATTAACACGTTTCTTTTTCTTTTGTGTATCATTATTCTTGTCCGTAGAAGATAAAATTGATGTTGGTTTGGTAACCTTATTAGTGGAAGGTTGCTGGGGATTATCCTCTGTTGTAATTTCCGGTTGTACAGCTATAGGTTCTGGTTCTGTTAAAGGTGGCTGTTGTTCAGCATTAACATCTGCAGTTATATTATTTGCGGAGTTCTCTTGTAAAGCGGTTTCATCGTAATTATTATATGCTGTATTTTCTGCACTAGCTGGAGCTGATGTTGTCGAATCTTCTGTATAAGTTTGATTATAGTCATAAACTTCTTGCTGTTGATATTGCTGATCATAGCCCTCAGTATTATATTGTTGATCTGTAGCATATTGTTCGACAGGTGCATTTGGATCGGGTTTGTATTCTCCTGTAGTTTCATCATAAATATAACCTGGATAGGAATATTGTGTGGGATCATAATTACTATAATCATATTGCTGCTGCTGTTGTTGACTATCATCGATTGCTGTATTATCCACATTTTCATAGTTGTTATAATCAGCTGCTGTAGTCTCTGTATCCCCAGGTTGTAGTTGGACGTTATTGTATTCATCGTAAGTTAGAGTTTGTTCATAATTTTTTGTATTTGAGTTTTGTTCATTCTCTGGGAATTCCACTGCTCCATTGTCATTATTCTCTACTGCCTTAACTTCATTTAAGTCTGTTTCTTCTAAAGGAATATTATTGGTTTCCAAATTTTCCTCTTGGGTTACTAGATTTTCCAATAACTTTGGATCTACATTAGAATTCTCAGGAACTGGTACTTCCTCAGTTTCTAAGGGTGATAATAATTCACCATAAATAGCATTTTCAATGTTCTCTATTGAGACTGGTGTAGTGGAAGAGTTTGATTCAGTAGTAGAAGTAGCTGAAGAGGTTTCTTTTGTAATAGTTGTCTGTACCATAGGTTGAGGTTGACTATTAACATAGTTTGTATTGTAGGAAGTTGGAAAGGGTTCAATTGTTGGTTCTAGTTGTACGGATGTTGTAGGTTTTTCTATTACTGCTTTAATGTTATTAATTTCATTAACAATTGGACTTTTAATTTCTTGTCTAACATCTTGTGTTATAGAATTAATATTATTAATATTTTGATTATTATTTTCTGGAGCTTTAAATGTATTATCATCTTTAGGATTTGTTGGTCTTAAAGTTGTTTCATTTATAGGTTGTGTTTGTTTATCCAAGAGCTGAAAATTTCCATTAACTTGTGGTATAACATTGGTATTTGTTAGATGGTTTGATTTTACGGCGATAGCTGCATTATTTGTTATTTCTCTTAAATTTTGAGGTATTTGTGGCCTCATACTAACATTTGGTATTTCCTCAAATGTAGAAGAGGTGGTAGTAGTCGACAAATTAGTAGGTTCTTTCAAATCTGCAAGCTGTTTATCATTGGGCAACAAATTAGTTACAGAAGAAAGAGATCTCGTAGAATTAACTATAGGACTAGCCACACTACTCACAGGGGTTTGCATTGTATTATAATTATTGTTCTGCATTGGAAGTTGTATATTATTACCATTGGGTTGTTCATATTTAACTGGATACTGGAAAGATTGTTGTGTTGATATAGAAGGTACTGTATTTAGATTTCTAAAATCCATATAATTATTTCTTTCGGTTACAACAAAGTTAGCCAGTGTTGGCATGTCCACAGTGCCCAAGTTTATATTATCTGGTTGGTTTCTTAAATTATATTGTTCCTTTTCACTATTAGGTAGTGGCGCAGCATAATTTTGATATGAATTGTTTACTAAAGGCGTTGCTGCAGCTGACTCTTTATTTGTGCTAAAATTGTAGTTTTCCATAACTACCGGTTGCATTGCAGGCATTACCGATTGTCCAGAAGTTGTGGCCATCATTGGTGTCACTGAGTTTTGTATGCATCTTCTTGTTTGTGAATGCACCAATTTGGCAAAGTACATTTCATATTGCAGCTATTGGAGAAAGTTTATATATAGAATATTTACTTTTTTTAATAAAAATTTTGAAAACTTACTTTCATCATCTTTAGTCTTTCACTTCTAGCATTCATTACCTCTGTTTGCTGTTCAATACGTTCCAACATTTGTACCAATTGTTTATTGCGTTCATTTCTTCGCTGTTGTTCTTCCAGAAATTGTTGATATTTTTGTCTTGCTTTAGATCGTACAGATTTATCGCTAATGGCAAGGAATAAAAGGTTTTGGTTTGTTATTAAAAGTTAAAAATATAAAGGAAATTTTTATATTAATTAAAAAATTCGGTGTTTTAATGAATTTTAAACGAAAAATTCACTTATTGAAAACATATTTTTGAAATAAAAGATGGCTTTCCGGTAAGCAATTGGATATTTGTATGAATAAACTGTATGATTCCAGTTTCAAATGTCAAATGATAAGATTCTATGAGTCTTTGTTGTTCAAAATTTCGTGTATGTCGATAGTCAGGCTGCACTCAGAGCATTGCATTCAAATAAATGTATTCAACCTTAATACAATAAGGTAGTGTGTTTGGCTACCAGGATATTGCAATGTACAGTGAAATGAGATAGTGGACGTACTTACAAGACAAAGTTCGAAATTTGACCTAAAAAGAAGGTACATGGTTTCAAAGCCACCCATCTGTCACTATTAAAGAATGATCTCTTTTAAAAATTCCGGGATATTATTAACCAGTAATAGAATAGTGTGGATTGTAAAATATCAAAGGTTTTATGACTAAGACTTGATGCAAAAGCAATCTAAATAGTTTAAAGATGCTGACAGGAGTTTTGCGGTATATTTTCTATTAGGGTCTTGAACAAAAATTACTAAGAAATAGATTCCACGTAGAGATGGGAAACATTGCTGCAATTTGTTCAGTTTTGTTAGGAGAATTAACCGTTCTTTGGGATGATATAGTGAGAATTATTATGTTTTCTGTCAAAATTCTTTCTTGATCTGAATCTGAAATTGGCCACAACGGTCTACGAGTGAAGATACGCAAACTGATCGACCATAGAATGCGAAATATGTATGTTACAAATTTTGGATATCTCTGGCTTTTAGAATTTTGCTCTTATCTCCATTATTTATGAACCAATTTTACTGATATTCAATAGTAATCTTTTCGTAAGCATATCTTATATAACTACATATTAACTATTTGGATCCCTAAGATATCGGGGGTCTTTAGAAAATTGTTTTTAACAAATATAGTGACAGACATCGTTGCTTTTAAGAAACATTTAAAGTGTTAGAATAACAAATAAAAACGAATCTGTTTGTAATCATTTAGGAAAAACGGTTTAACAATTTAACAAGAATAGAGAAATCTAACTACAATAACGATAGCTCTAACTTCAACTTACACGTGACCTTTAAAACTTTATTACGTAAATAATATAATCTAAAGCTTTATGAAAACTTAATTTCTTATTAGTTAAATTTTTTATTATTTCTAAATATTTACTTACTGTTCATCACGTTTTTGTAATATTTTATCTAATTTATGCTCCAATTGTTGGCGTGATATTTCACTAAATAGAATAAAGAAAGCAACCACAATATAATTTTTAAATAAAACACAATTACACACATTCCAAAAACTAACCTTCTTTGTAATTTTTCTTGTAACAATTCCACTTGTAATTTATAATTATCCAATTCAGATTGAGGAAACATTTTCAATTTTTAAAAACAAATTTCAAACTTTGATTAATTATTTAGTAATTTAAGCATCCATAAAAAGTTCTTTTAATAACAAACAAACTTTTTAAGCTAATTGAAAAATAAAATGTTTTTTTTTTTTCTTTTTTCCTTTAAAACTTTCACTTTTATAGCACTTTTCGTAGCCTGTACTTTATCCTTGAAGTTGAGTTAATTCAATGAAAAAAAGAACTCTTTAGAAAAATTCATTATGTTTTACTAATGCGACAAAACTTTTCTATTGGCTTTTCTCGTATTACCTATACAAGTAGTTTGTTGATTTTTATACATTATATAGATTTGGGTTGTCCTGGCAACTGGAAATTATGTATTTACTTATTAGTGACGTTGCTGGTGTTAAGGGAAATTATTCTAGAAAAGAGGTATATTTTACACAAAAATACACCCTACTTGAAAGCCACAATGAAAGGTTATAATTAAAAGAATTAGAAAATGTATTATTAAATGTTTTTCCAGTAGTATTTTACTACTACATAAATAGTTTATCGGAAAGTACTTCTGCTAGTTTGTTGTTGAATTAAATTTTTCTCTCTTGACCCTAAAAGTTTTCTATTGTAGCTTATTTGCAAGTCTTTATATATCTATTAATATGTATGTAACTCTATATATTTCGTCATTTTTATATTCTTAGTGCCAATTTTTTAACATTTCCTTTCAATATTTATTGTATAGTCTAAGTTTTTGTTTTTTCATATATGTTTTGTTTTTTCATATAAAACCTGTTTTCTTATATTTTCCAATTGGACTAGGTCACTGTGAAATGCGTTTATGTTCTGTAGATAATATGAAATTCAAAACGGCACATTTTTAAGGGTTGTATTTCATATGATCAGGAATGCGGTTAGTATAAATAGTCCTTTGTATGTTAAATATAAAAAGTAAAAGTCTTTTTTATTACATATATGGTTGAGTTCATTAGATGTACATATATTAATGAGTACTAATGGAGTTTATGTATGTTTTCTTGCTATTCAAAATGTTTATGTGTAAGTTATATATTTCCATGTTAGGTTTAGTTATAGAGTTCTCAAAATGTAGGAAAAATGTGTTATTAAAAATTATTAATATCGAAATATTGGTATAATATTCGGAAGTCTATCGATAGTCAAGCTGCACTAGGAGCATTGATACATGTACATATGTCGTACGAAGCATTTTTTTTTTATTTTTGAAGAATATAGAAATGCTATAAGTGATCCTATAGAACTGTTTAGCATAAGGCTGCGTTGAGTATGAAGACATTTCATTGTACTAAGCAAGGAGGTAGCGTACGATGTTGTTAGACCACCTATTGTCAATATTATAAGTTGATATCTGATAGATGTCGAGACATTATCAACCAGTTCTGGAATAGTACAATGTAATGCTAAGTATCTAAGATCTTATGGGCAAGACTTAATGCAAAGACAACCAAGATACTTAGGGCCCTAGGTTAGTAAGGTCTGTACATCATAAAAAGGTGCAAATCCACTCCATTGGTCCATTGTGATTCTCTTCAAAGAGTTAAGATTCAAAGACAGAGAAACAAAAACACTAAAAGAAAACAACAAAGAAAGAAGAATATAAGTATAGGGGAGAGGATAATGGGAACAGGTCTATTCATAAGGGATTACAACCCAGAAGTTTTAACAAGTCAATACTATAAAGAATAAAGAAATGAGAGAGAAAATCTATGCTCCCCTATAAAGCCCAATTGAAGAAGTAACTAATTCCTTTAACAAAAGCCTAAATTTCTCCCAGTTCGTCATGGAACCTATTCCCTAGCCATTTAAACTCGAGATTTTGTATCCTAAGACAGCGGCAAATTATATGCTTCATCGACGCTACTTTCTCCTCATCTTCACATAAACTGCTATAATTAGGTATATTACTGTCCCATTTGCTGACAAAGGCATCTCTATCAGAATCCTTAGACTGCATTCATCCAGTCCTATAAGTATTTTAGTAGCCCCCATATCAAGTGTTGGCCATAGGATCTTTGATATTTTGCAATCCAATATACTACTTTTGCAGGACTTGTTTATGATGTCACGGAATATCAACCTATACTCAGGGCCTTATTCATAATGAAAGTGATATATTTTCCCATATGGCAATTTCTTAGCAGCTCGTTTTTATTGTGCCCATTATTGGAAGGATTGCGATTTCATCTTGGCATGTTCATTCTTGACAATAGAAATACATATATTGAAACACTCAATATCTACTTACAAAATCACTGTAGCGTTTTACAGTCTGGAATCCCAGCCTTTAAAAAGCAATGTTAAACTGGATGCGGTACTATAGGTTAAACAACAGAAATATACGAATTTGTACTGACAGTAAACCAGCTGTTAAATCTTAAACTGGTGTCTATACGATATCCATACTGTTTAGTGAATGTCGAGCATCTCTTAACGAACTATTCGTTTCTGCACTAGATACCGGGTCATCCAGCATGAACTTTATGGGTTTGCTCAGACCACATGGTCAACAGCGACCTCCTGGAATCTCTATGATGAGCGAAGTTCGATAGTTTCGATGGGGCTTTCTAGGATGAGACTACGTATATATAAGAGCCATCCTGACAGTGGACTGTATTATGAGAGTGCTTGCTAGAAGACTAAATCGTCCATATAATGACTATTGCGGGAGCTGTTGAACTGTTGAACACTTTCTCTGTCTATGTCCTGTTTTAACGAACATTAGGACTGAGTTTTTGGGCAATCCAATACTGCATGAACTAGAAGCTTTCTCTAATATGTATACATATAAGATAGAGTCGTTTATTTGTGCCTCTGCACAGTGAGACATTTGGTACTTTTAGAACGACAAAAATAAAAAATTAAACGCTTTCCAATTGTCTTGCTTGTTATTATAGTTAACAGTAAACATTCCATATACTATAGAAAAATAACTAAAAATATTGCAGAGTTCCTTTAACCCGAAATATAGGTGCTCAAAGTTGCTACTTTAAAAATAAAATAATTTTCTTGTAATATTTCTGAAGCGGCATATTAATTTTGAATGCTTATATAAATATTTCAGATATTTATATAGTTTCTTCAGTGTATTATAATTTAGTACTTCAAGATTATTCTGCAATGATTTTTTAGACAAAAGCTCAATTTTAAAGGTTTTATTTTTAACTCGTAAGAAAAAATAATATTAATAATAAAAAGATATTAAAAAATTATATTTTTAATGAAATAGATCTAATGACTGCAGCCAATTGCAGTTATCTAATTATAACCCTTGCATAGGAAATTTTCTATAGAAACATATATCTGAAAATTGACTGCGATCTTTTGAGATCTTCAGAGATATTCAAAAAAATTAGAGTGTCCTATAGAAATTAATATGTTTTTTTTTTTTTTTTTTTTTTTTTTTTTTTTTTTAATTACCCAGCAAAAAAAGTGTAGAAAAAGATGTAGAATTTTCATCACAACCCAGCAAAAAAAGTGTGGAAAAAGATGTAGAATTTTCATCACAACTAGTAACCCGAAGTGCTTCAAATTCGGGTGTAAAACCTATGAATTTTACATTAGCGTGTCATTGGAGGGATGTTGTTCATTTTTGGCAACTTTGAACTACATCTAATCTTATTTTTAGAAGCAGTAAACATCCGATATTTAGATGTCAAAAATAAAACACATTCTCTTAATGACACGCTTATGTAAATTTCACTACTCTTTCACCAAATCTGATGTACTTCAAATATGTTATTTGTAATGACTTTTCCACATCTCTTTCCTCACTTTTAACTGGGGTTTCATTTGTAAGGAAATATTTGGTTTATAAAAGTGAAAAATATGTAATCGCATTTTAAGATGTGATTAAGATGTAGTTTGTAAAGTATGACATCAATTATTTTTTGCTGGGAACTAGTAACCCGAAGTGCTTCAAATTCGGGTGTAAAACCTATGAATTTTACATTAGCGTCCCAGCAAAAAAATTTGAAGTTGTTAAGGAAGAAGGGATATTTTCATGATTTCTTTAGTAAGTATCCCAGCAAAAAAAGACGTGCAAAAAAAGTAGTAAATGCATGGGTTGAACTGATAATGAACTGGTTCATATTTAGGGGAAACATGCATGATTTTAACATTAGCGTGTCATTGGCATGCATGTGTTCGTATTTGGAAAAATAGTTCGTCATTTAAATGAGTTCTTATAACCAATGAATATTCGATGATTCTCAAGCGAATTTTCATTAGTGCACTATATTTATTTAAAAATGCATTAATAATGGTATTTCGATTTAGTTATCAATATTTAAATTTTTTTTGCGTGATATTGATAAAAATAAAATAAGATAAAACATAACTGATTTTTATTGGATTTAAATTCATGCGGAGGAAAAATACCCATTGTGTTTTAAAATCCGTTAAGCAGTCTCGTTTTTTTCCTTCTCTTATTAATGTTAAAATGGACTTAATATTACTAGGTAGGTAGGTACCTACAAAAACAAAAATCTAATAAAAAATTAATGTCATTTTTAATATTTATTGTATGAAATGCACGTTTTCGTTAAATCTCCTAAGAGAATACCAAATTATAGTAAAATATTACAATTCCTATAGTGGAGTTACATGAGTGAATTTGGGTGCATTTTTCATGCCTTCACTGATGACAAATTTATTAGAATTTAGGCATGTATTTAAAACGCATTAAATAGAATACGTACAAAAGAAATCATGAAAATATCCCTTCTTCTTTAACAACTTCAAATTTTTTTTGCTGGGATTCTATTTAATGCATTTTAAATACATGCCTAAATTCTAATAAATTTGTCATCAGTGAAGGCATGAAAAATGCACCCAAATTCACTCATGTAACTCCACTATAGGAATTGTAATATTTTACTGTAATTTGGTATTCACTTAGGAGATTTAACGAAAACGTGCATTTCATAGAAAAAGATTAAAAATGACATTAATTTTTTATTAGATTTTTGTTAAAATTAGTAATAATAAGTCCATTAAAATTAGTAATATTAAGTCCATTAATAAGAGAAGGAAAAAACCAAGACTGCTTAACGGATTTTAAAACACAATGGGTATTTTTCCTCTGCATGAATTTAAATCCAATCAAAATCAGTTAGTTATGTTTTATCTTATTCTATTTTTATCAATATCACGCAAAAAAAATATTTAAATATTGATAATTAAATTGAAATACCATTAATGCATTTTTAAATAAATATAGTGCACCAATGAAAATTCGCTTGAGAATCATCGAATATTCATTGGTTATAAGAACTCATTTAAATGACGAACTATTTTTGCAAATACGAACCCATGCATGCCAATGACACGCTAATGTTAAAATCATGCATGTTTCCCCTAAATATGAACCAGTTCATTATCAGTTCAACCCATGTATTTCTACTTTTTTTTGCACGTCTTTTTTTGCTGGGGTGTCATTGGAGGGATGTTGTTCATTTTTGGCAACTTTGAACTACATCTGATCTTATTTTTAGAAGCAGTAAAAATCCGATATTTGGATGTCAAAAATAAAACACATTCTCTTAATGACACGCTTATGTAAATTTCACTACTCTTTCACCAAATCTTGATGTACTTCAAATATGTTATTTGTAATGACTTTTCCACATCTCTTTCCTCACTTTTAACTGGGGTTTCATTTGTAAGGAAATATTTGGTTTATAAAAGTGAAAAATATGTGATCGCATTTTAAGATGTGATTAAGATGTAGTTTGTAAAGTATGACATCAATTATTTTTTGCTGGGTAAGTGTAAACTCACGTTAGGGGTATACATAAATTTTGGCCTTGGCACCATGTATTAGCCCACAATTAGTGCTCTTAAAAAAAATTACTTAAGCCAATCAGGAGTCATAGCTTTATTTAAAAAGTAAAATTTTCTGTTTATTTCCAGATTTAAATTCATAGATTATAAATTTATTTTGTTCTTTGTAAAAACCGCGGAATTTATATTTTATTTTAAATTTTTATTAGAGTATATATTGTTTGTTAATGTTGCATTCAATTATTTGCAAATATTTGTACAATTTGATAAAAATTTCTAAGAGTGACAACCCCAATATTCATTAGGGTGGTTATATAAAGCATGTTTTTAAAAATTATAGAAGAGCATGCACTAAACTGTAATGCAGAGCATTTGAGACAAATCGGATAATACTAACCCGTTTAAAACAGTATCTAAACGGTGAAAATGTGTTTAAATAGGAAAATGGGTTTTATTAACTTTTTGCAGAGACTGTGCTACAAATATTTATATTTTGCATTTTTTTATAAATAAATAGCAACCTGTATAAAATTGTATTTTTTTTTTGAGATATATGCGACCAAAAATTTAATTTTTATTCAATGTATACTTGTAAAAAATGGGCGTGGCAGCAGTCTTATTGTGCTGATTATTATGTGGAGCGTTTGGCCAATTGTTTGCTAACTGTAACTAAAATTAGAACTCAATATCACTAAGATTTGATTAATGTCGTTCTAAAAGTGCCAAATGTCTCACTGTGCTCTGGTTGGTATGTCCATGTTAAAAATAGACTCCTATAGGTGGTTTCGGGCAGGATCTGTTACAGGGAAACACAACGGCAACATTAAGTGGAACAAGGTGAGTCGTTCAACAATCTAGCCTTATTGGGCCTTGTCCAATTAAGAATTTTTTTTTTAGTTTTTTATTAGTAAAATGTCCAAAATGGATAGGAAATAGTTTCTACCATGAACTGGGATGTATTGCTAGGAGAAACTTTACTTTTTTATTAATTATACTTTTCACTCTCATTAGCAGTGAATACCATTAATATCCTTAATGTTTTTCAGAATAATACAAAAAATATTAAAGTAATTTATGGAAATCAGATATAAGTGGTTGCTAATTTCCCCCAAATTATTTTAAACCATATGCAGCATATTTTCATTTCTTGATAAATTTATTTTATGATGATAAACAAAATTAACTTTATCTGATAAGCGAATTCGAATATCATTTAGCAAAAAGAAGTCTATGTACAAACAATTCTAAACAAATATTTGTTTAGCAATATTATATAATTGAATATTAATGAGCACGTTTATTCTATTAAAAATCATATAGTTTAACATATTTAAACATTAACTCCAGATAAATGAGAAAATCAGGTTTCATTAATAAAATTAACAAAAAAGTTAAAAGGAAAATTGCGAATAAATGACATATTTACCATAAAATGAGATTTTTTAATAATTGTTTTGTTAAACAGTTTTCCATTATGGTTTTCACTTTGTTTTTGCATGCCCTTTATTATAAAATAAACAATAATAAGCAAACAGTTTGTTATCAACAGTACGATTTCAAAATTGTTTAATTGTATGTATTAAGACTTAGACATGTAAAGATAAATAAATACTACTTGAAAATCTCACAAAAGATAAGATTATAATATAAATATAAATCAATTTTAATACAAATTATAATTAACCAAATAAACTTTCTATTTTTAGTGGAACGTAGAAAAGAAATTCATGGCGAATCTTTGGATAAATCGCAAAAAAAGAAAATCGAACGTGATGAGGAAAAGTTGAAGAACAATAACAGAGATTTATCTTTGGTGAAAATGAAATCTATGTTTGCAACAGGTTTTGCTTTTACAGCTCTATTGAGTATGTTCAATAGCATGTAAGTAGAATTAATATTTAAACTGTAATACCATATTTATTATAAACAATCTTTGTTAATTTTGCAGTTTTGATGGACGCGTTGTAGCACAATTACCCTTTACACCCATTTCCTGGATTCAAGGTTTAAGTCATCGTAATTTATCCGGTGATGATTTTACCGATTGTTCCTTTATCTTTTTGTACATTTTATGCACCATGTCCATTAGGCAAAATATACAAAAAATGTTAGGTTTTGCTCCCTCTCGTGCGGCTAGCAAACAGGGTGGCGGCTTATTTGGTCCACCAGGACAATTTAAATAATTCAACTAAATACAAATAACAATTGTAAATTTAATTTTAAATAAAAAAAATTATGTTTATTACTTGAACATTATTTATAATAAAAGAAGAACACACAAATTTTAAAATAATTTTAAATTATTTACAAAATATGTAATAACAATAGTAAAATATTTTCTTTCTAAAATATTTTATTAAATTATACTATAAATAGCCTTTAAGCTTAAATGACTTGTTTGTGAGAGCGTTTGTTAAACAATATTCGATTCAAACATGGGACGATCCACTATGATGCGATCAAAACCTAAACGTGACAAATCAATGGTGCGGAATTTACCATCAATAATCAATTCTGATATGGCTCTACCAACTGCCGGGGTTTGTTGTATACCATGACCACTAAAACCAGTGGCTATCAATAGATTGTTGTAGTAGGGATGGGCACCGATAATACCATTCTCATCGAATACATTGTATTCATAGAAACCAGCCCAACTGTTCACCACTTTAGCCGATTCAAAAGCCTTACAACGATTAGCCAAACTAGGCCAGATTTCATTTTCAAAGAAGGCATGATCTACATCTAAATTATCCACAGAAGGCTCTTGTTCTAAGGTAGGTGAACGGCCACACAAGTAATTGCCTCCCAAGCCATCACGACGGAAGTAAGTACCATCTGGATCCACTGTTAGGGGTGTAGCTAAACCGGGACAATTGCTACCCTGAGAATTTATTACATAAACATAACGTTTGCGTGGTTCCACCGGCAAAGGCACACTTAACATACCACGTCCTGTACCTATGCGTGCCTTACGTGCTATCTCGCCAGAATAGGCGCCTGCTGCCAATACACAAACGGCAAATTTTATGGTACGTGTCTCACCATTTGGCATTTTTACCACCAGTTTATCTAAGCCTTGATAATCTCCTGTATCGTTACCACGCACTATAACATCGGATTGTTCTTTAAATTCAAATCCCACAACTTCACCGTTAACAAAGTGGGCTCCATATTCTTGAGCTTTCTTTTTAAAGCCCATCAATAGGGCCCAAGGGTCGAACCAACCTTCACGTTCTAAGCCATGGCAACCTGAAAAGAAAATATAATATAATTTTAATTAGACATATTCGAAATTTCGAAGTTATTTATAAATTTCTTTAAATAATCACCAATTCATGAGGATTTATGTAAATAAAAATTTAGTTTAGGTCAATTTCAAAATTAACAAGTATGTGTTGTCAGAATATAAACATTTTAAGACATATTCGAAAATTCGAACTTTTGTTCGAAAATCATAAGGATTAATAAAAATGTAATTTTGGTTTAATTTGAGGCCAATTATTTAAATTTCTTCATTTCATTTTGAAAATAATTTTAAAATTTTAATAAATTCTTGAAAATTTTGTAAATAGTTTTAAAAGTACATTCCGATTAAAAAAACATTTTAAAGAATCGAAAAATCTATGTTTAAAAAATATAAAGTAATTCAAACAACAAGGTGTATGGTTCAAAAGTTCAACCCTAACAGATTTTTCAAAATAAAATTAAAGAAATTCATCTACAAGTGGGATTCGAAATCGAGCCTGAAATATATTCGATTAATAACTATTTTTGAATTCGAAAACTTTAAAAAATTGTTTGCTTAGTCAGTCTTATCAATATTTGCAAAATTAAAATATCAGTTTTGATCCAAAAACGATTAATTTCACACGAATATAGGCTTCAAATTAATCATCAAAGTTCATCAAACTAAAATTAATTTCACTTATAAAACACATAAGCTGAATCGCTTACATTTATCAATAAATAAGCCTAATTTTGAGTCTACAGTTTAAACAATAAATTCCGTTACATGTTTCGAACGAGAAAACACAAACTTACCTAATACAACACCCTCCGTATTCATCCAGGGAAATTTACTTTTAAGTTGTGTTGCATTTAATAATTCATTACGAGCACCCAATTCATTTTGTAACTTAGAATTACGCATTAAAGTTTCGGCTCCCTCCTCTGAAGCCAATACAAGATAGCCTGAATAAAAGATGTATATAAATAAATTAATTGAATAATACTTTAATAATCAAATAATACTAGGTAGGTATTACAATCAAAAACTAAACAATAAACTAATTGAGTTCAGAGTGTCAATAATAGAAAGAAAAATCCACTTACCATGGGGTGTAAAATTTAATTCACAATCACCTAAACGTTCTTTTGATTCTCTTATAAATTCAGCACCATACAATGACATTTGAATATTTTCCGGCAATGAGAATTGTTGGCGTAAACCACCAACTGATAACACGGTAGAGGCACGTTCGTACTAAATATTATTAAATAAATTAAATAAAACAAAAACAAATAAACACTTGATATCAGCACAATATAGATAAACAATTATAAATTTAACCTTACCGTAGGATCACGTTCTACTACGACAACATTTAAACCCTCTCTAGCTTTTTCTTTTAGCCAAAAGGCCACGGAAGAGCCAACACCGCCTCCACCTATAACGACTACATCACAATGTGTCTGGAAGAGATCATCTGATGCTCCGGCACCTTGAGTACCTTGGAAACGTTTAAGTTTCTCATCTAAATCATCAGTTTCACTGCCCGAGCTAGCTCCTTCATTTGTTTTGCTACTGGCATTTGGTTTAAAGAAATTTGTTACTTTTTTCATATCATTCTTTAAAATATTCAAAGATCTCTTTACTGGATGGTTATCATCCTGTCCTTGGTTATCACTGCCAGCAGACGAGAGCCGTGCTGAAGATAAGGCGGCATAAGACCGTAATTGTTTGGTTAAAGGGCCGGCTGCGCGTTGTAATCTCAACATTTTTGTATAATTCAGTTGATTTTAATACTAGTTTATTTTATAAATTTAATGCAAAAACTTTCGCAGATAAAGAAATTCTATTTTAAAAATCTTATTCCGACTTGCTGTCTGCTCATCGGTTCTATAACTATTACGCTAATTTAGAAATGTTTCAGTGCAAATCAACTTTTGTGTGTTTTGATTTTTTTTGCTTTTTGATAAGAGCCAGTGTTGTTGTGTAATTATTTTCTTTATCAAATAATTTACAGTGTTGCATTGTTTGGGAAAATGTATACTACGTAGTATCAAATTATATTTACAATTTGTTTAAATTAGTTTATTGTTGTTAAATAAAGAATTAATTAAATATATTTTTGTATTTTGTAATATATGTAGCATTTAGTAAAGTATTACAATTTTTGAAGGGAATTAAAAGGGGTTTTTCAAGGTTATCTCACTTTTGGAAACGATTACAAATAAGGTTCATAGATAAATGGATAGACAGATATATAGATAGATAGATAGATAGATAGATAGATAGATAGATAGATAGATAGATAGATAGATAGAAGTAGATAGATAATAGATAGATAGATAGATAGATAGATAGATATATAGATAGATAGATAGACTAGATAGATAGATAGATAGATAGATAGATAGATAGATAGATAGCTAGATAGATAGATAGATAGATAGATAGATAGATAGATAGTAGATAGATAGATAGATAGATAGATAGATAGATAGATCATAGATAGATGATAGATAGATAGATAGATAGATAGATAGATAGATAGATAGATAGATAGATAGATAGATAGATAGATAGATAGATAGATAGATAGATAGATAGATAGATAGATAGATAGATAGATAGATAGATAGATAGATAGATAGATAGGATAGATAGATAGATAGATAGATAGATAGATAGATAGATATGAATAGATAGATAGATAGATAGATAGATAGATAGATAGATAGATAGATAGATAGATAGATAGATAGATAGATAGATAGATAGATAGATAGATAGATAGGTAGATAGATAGATAGATAGATAGATAGATAGATAGATAGATAGATAGATAGATAGATAGATAGATAGATAGATAGATAGATAGATAGATAGATAGATAGATAGTAGATAGCTCGCTCGCTCGCTCGCTCTGCTCGCTCGCTCGCTAGCTCGCTCGCTCGCTCGCTCGCTCGCTCGTCGCTCGCTCGCTCGCTCGCTCGCTCGCCGCTCGCTCGCTCGCTCGCTCGCTCGCGTCGCTCGCTCTCTCGCTCGCTCTCGCTCGCGCTCGCTCGCTCGCTCGCTCGCTCGCTCGTCGCTCGCTCGCTCGCTCGCTCGCTCGCTCGCTGCTCGCTCGCTCGCTCGCTCTCTCGCTCGCTCGCTCGCTCTCTCGCTCGCTCGCTCGCTCGCTCGCTGCTCGCTCGCTCGCTCGCTCGCTCGCTCGCTCGCTCGCTCGCTCGGTCGCTCGCTCGCTCGCTCGCTCGCTCGCTCGCTCGCTCGCGCGCTCGCTCGCTCGCTCGCTCGCTCGCTCGCTCGCTTCGCTCGCTCGCTCGCTCGCTCCTCGCTCGCTCGCTCGCTGCTCGCTCGCTCGCTCGCTCGCTCCTCGCTCGCTCGCTCGCTCGCTCGCTCGCTCGCGTCCACAGTAGCTGCGCAAAAGTAGCGGTCGATGCAGATTATTTTTTTTTAATATTAATATTTTCATGTTACACCCTGTTTGAAATTTCCATTCTATTTGTTCCCTCCACCATTCGGAGTAATTCACACAAACAGCTATTATGGCAAATGCCAAAATTAAATGACTTTTAAAATTTCAATTTTGCCGATTGACAAGACATAAAATTTAATTTTCTCAACAACAAAAGACCAGACTAGAGTTTTTTTAATATATTAATAAATCATAGTTAAATAATTTTGATAAGTAAACAATAAATATGCCACAATATAAAGGTAAGTTTTGGTCTGGAAAAAAGAAAAAGTGCAAAGAAATTTATCCTAAAAGTAATGCAAAAATTTTGTTTTGCAGTGAAAGTAAAATGGGGACGCGAAATGTTTCCTGATATTGAAGTAAATACCGATGAGGAACCCATACTGTTTAAGGCTCAGTTGTTTGCTTTGACAGGAGTACAACCAGAAAGGCAGAAAGTTATGTGCAAGGGAGGCATTTTAAAGGATGAAGAATGGAATTTGCAATTGAAAGATGTAAGGATAAGCAATATGGAAAGGATTGAGGGGAATAATATTGATTTTTTTTTTAATAATGTTTCAGGGAGCTACAATTTTGTTGCTGGGCA